AGGACTGCCCAACGGCGATGGTGATTTTGTTCAACCTTTGGATGCTCCCTACCTCAATGCCATCTCACTTTGGAATTTTCTCCGCTGTTCTCTATTTCTAATATTGATTTTCATTTTACAGAAAGCTCGACGAACAAAGGCAATATCCTTGAAATTGTGGAAGTTACGGCAGCAAATGTTCCCGAATTTGGCCAACAAATTGCAGAAGCTGTATACAACACTAAGTATATAGTTCCTACTGTACAGCAACAACTCATTGAATGTGCTGCTAACTCAGGCCCCCTGACATAAAAAAATGAGTTGGCGGATGGGTTCATTTCTGTGCTTATTGATGAAGCAAGTTGTGAAGGAAGCTTGGAGTACATGATGTAATGTAATGATTTACGTGTTCGCGTGGCCAATTATACCTGCGCTAGCAAGTTCAGTGTAGCTAGTCGGCGGCATAGAGTGGTGTCCGCATACGTCGAGTCTCCTTCAGCTGGTAGCGATTCGGCAAGTCTAGTCATGAGGTCCTTCCATTTCCGTCTGTTCTGGGCGAGTGTTCGAAGCTTTTCCAGGTCCCTGTCCGTCTGAAGTCGGAGTCCGCATCCACTGGCAACGAGGTCTTGATCAAGGACGACCGGCAACGTGGTGCGTCGTCGGCCGCACCATTTGCCAGAGTCCAAGGGGGCGAAGTAGGCCTTCATTTGGCTGAAAGCGGGGATGTCACGGGGTCGGCGGAGGATATGGCCGAAGAGGCTCCATCTCGCCTTGGTGATCCGGTGGCGTAGTGGGCGTTCATTGCAGGCCTTATACAGATTGGCGTTCGAGATGCGTCTCGGGTAGTGGACATTAAGGATGGCGCGGAGCTGACGACGATGGAAGCTTTCCAGATTGCGTAGTTCCGTCGGGGTGGGCGCCCAAGTCCCGCAGTTGTACAGGAGGATCGGGAGCACGTAGCAATTGTACAACCGTATTCTCGTCTTGTCCGTGATGTGATGTGGCCGGAGCCAGACTGTCCAGAGCCGGCGAAGAGCACCAGTTGCAAGGGTTTTCCGCCGCGATACATCCTCCGCGTCGCCGAGCAGGGATCCAAGTTTACGGGTCGATCTCCAGTGTTCTTCTTTGGCACGGGCTTTAGGGTCGGTACTCGCAGGAGTCACACAGCGTGGGAGCGTTGTGAGTTCTGTCTTGCTCGCGTTCATTTGGAGTGACCAGCGTTCGAGGACTGCCGGTGCGTGTGTCTTAATGGGATCGACCAGGGCGGGGTCTCTGCAGATGAAGTCTGCATCATTCGCGTAGACAATCATTTGTTGGCCAAATCTGGCCGCATGGCTGGATGACGAGCGAGGTCGTGTAGTGCTACTTCGAGATAGACGACGAACCAAACGGGTGATAATGAGTCTCCCTGTGGCGTACCTGTGTTGCTGTCAAACGCGTCGAGGACGTCGCGGCCAATGCGGAGCGAGAGCGTTGTATCCGAAAGCAGCAGACGGATGAGCCGGATTTCATCATCTTGTAGGAATTCTTGGAGGACTTCGAGCAGTTTCTGGCGGTCGATGGTGTCGAACGCGCGCGAGAGGTCAATCCCGAGCACTTGAACAATTTCTCGATACTGTTGAACACGTGCGCATAGCCATTTGTGACCCCAGACAGCGTCCGTGGTGCTACGGCTTTTGCGGAAGCCGCTCTGATGACTGGATAGAAATGTGTCGACCGCAGGCGTGATGCGGTGGAGGACTATTAGCGACACAGATCGTGTTTAGTAGCACGATTGGGCGTAGGCTGGAGCACTCTCCGCGGGGTTTATTTGGTTTTTGAAGACAAAGA